ATCATCTTCGGCCGGCATAACGACTTTGACAAATTCGACCTCCTTGTCGGTCGACTTGGCTTTTTCCTCTATAAAAGCCTGAACCCGGCTCCGAATCTGCTCTGGAGTCATGTCATCGAAGTGTTGCTCAACTTCTACCTCGACAAGGGTTGAGAGATATACGTCGGCTAACTCCTTTCACTTCCCTTTCTCACTCTCCAAAATCATATTGACATAGGCCCGTCGGAGAAGAGCTGCTCTATCTTCGGAAAGTGGCGGCAAGTCAGGATTCGCATTCATCTCTTCAGATCGGCGCAACATCCACTCGCAAAAATCCCGCTCATCCTCATAAGCCTCAATGTGCATACCCTTAATCTCGGTGCCAAAGCCATATTTCTCAAGCTTGTGGAAAAGAAAGAAACGAAGATCATCGATATCATAATAACCGGCATCAAAGCGCTCGATAACCCACCAGAGTGCCAAGCAAGTATTCATTTCAAGCTCCAAATCTGGGCCGTCTTCCTCTTCCACTTCGGCAACCATATCATCAGCCTGAACAGTTTGCACTTCGGCCATAGAGTCCTTCCCAGCTTGAAAGCCATTCTCATACATAAATTCTCCGTACTCCGACTTCTCTCTTTCAAGCTTCAATACGTCGGCTTGATGGGCCTCCCGTTGCTGACTTACAAGCTCGCGGACCTCGGCGTACCCTTTACGCGTTGCTTCATGCCCCGCCTTTTCGTCTGACAACGCCTTCGCTGTTTCCTCCAATTTGACCTCTGAAGTTTTAAAGTGTTGCTCAACCACAGCGAGGCGTGCCTTAAGGTCAGCTACCTCGGCCTCCAAAGCCTTTTTCTCCTCAGATATCACCGAGGTCTCGACTCGTGCCCTTTCCAACTGGGCAGCTTGCTCAGAAAGCTGGCCCTTCAAGTCGGCTTCCATTTTTGCAGACTCTTCTTTCAAATTGACGATCATGATGTCTCGCGCAGCTATTGTATCCTTTTTCCCCTCCAATTGTGACGCAATCCGACGATGATCGTCTTCAGCAGCCACCAAACTAACTAACGCCCTGCCTACGCACGCCTTTGCATAACTCAGCCGGTCCACGCTCGACAAAGAAGAGACCCCCACCTCGGATTTGGGGTCCCAGACCATCAACGGCACACGGGCAACATTCTTGGCGCTTTCTGGCATCTCGATCCTTCACGACATATGCGGTGTCTTCACAGATTAGAAAGTCGTAAACCACTCTTCAACAACACCTTCGGGCACTTGAACATTCGCAGCCCTCTCTTCATCGATGGACAAAAAAGATTTTTCAAATAGAGGGGATCCATCCTTACCCTTCTCCGCGGCCTTACGACCAGAGTCGTGCTTTTTCTTTGTTCTCTTCTCCACTCCAGAAGAAGCACCGACATCAGACATCTTCATCAACTTCCTCTTTTTCCTCTTTTCCGGTTGCTCAGACTCCTTGGACTTCGGAGAAGAGGGTGGTTTCTCAAGTTCCTGCACTTCGGTATGCACGACTTCGGTTGTGACCAATTCTGTTCCCATTATAATCGGTTCAGGCTCCGCTTGGCTAATAGCCGCAGCACTCACAACCGGCAGCACCTCGGTGGCCGTCGCTCTCTGCAATGACTTCGGGCTCTCCAGAACAGCTGCCGAAGTCGCACTCGACCCCACCTTGGTCGATTTCTTACTGGTATTCTTCTGGCCAACAGTTTTCTTCACTAAAACGCGAACTAAATCCCTCCTCATGGCGTCGGTCAATCTTAGATCACGGCTCTTACCGAACTTGGATTGAAGATATCTATTCGGATACTTGCGCCTGAACTCTTTCGCTTCTTTGATCGAATTATAACCCAAGAATCCGAGGAGAGGGTAATATACTGTGTCAAAAAATAAACAACCGACACCCCACAGTAAAAATGGATATTTTATGAATACATAGAAATCGCAGGCAAAGGAATTAAAACCGCGAAGTCCACTCACCGGGATCAAACTTCAAATTAGAAACTCCGGGAGACAAACCAGCAACCTCAAGTTTAGAGTCCACAACAAGCGTGCGATAATCCCGTTCTCCCTTCTTCAAACTAGCAAGTGCAATCAGCTTCCCGCCGAATTCGGGACTTAACCTCGGTTCCACTTGCTTAGTCTCTTTTTCTACAAAGATGGCAAAAACTGTTAGTACACAGAACAAAACAAAATCAGAAGAATATATCCGAATTAAAAAATGAAGAAAACTCACTTGCTCCGGTATGTATAAACATCGGAATTGTCATTCCGTCAATCCGAGGTTCGTGGAAGAAGCTTTCGGACTGCCACTCTCCACCGATCCACAACCACTCCTCTTGAAATCCATGAAGAGTTTCCGGAATATCGGTAATGATCTCACCGACTTTCACGCCACGTTGCGGTTTAGCCCCTGCAAAGAAGCAGCACGAAGATTCCGCAACATGTCTCTTTGGGCTCCTCTTAAAAGCGAAGATACTCCTTATCTCCTCATACGATGGTAATCCTTCACCCTTCTCGTGCAACAATACCATTAAGCCAATGATCTTTTTCCAGCTATTAGGAGTGATTTGGCACAACGGCAACCCCCAACTTCGAAGGTATTCTGTGATCAAATTCGGTAACGGGAATCTCAGTCCCGACCTTAAGCTCTCTGCAAAGACGCCCACACAACCCGGAGGAGGACTTGTTATTCTCTCCCCGGGGTAAGGAGCAAAAACCCTCACCGAAGGAGGAATTCTCACCTGCTCCCGTAGTATCACCACATCGGCATCAGTTAGAATGCTTGGCTCGCCTTCAAAATCGACCGCAGGGTCAGACCACTTCCTCACCGGTCTCCTCCAGTGAGGCACCTCAATATCGGCCGCGTTCTCTTCAACAATTCGATCGCCATCTTCATCATCGGGCTTAATATCCAAATGCCCTATCAACATCGGATCCCACCGATGATACTCAAAGGCCAATTCGACCAACTGTGAATCATGATACACATCCAAGGGAACCGACTCAGTACTAGAAGAACTCGCCACTGCTTTACCCTTTCCTTTTGACACCATTACGCAAAAGGAATAATACGAAACAAACAAATAAAGAAATAAAAATAGAGGATGAAAGCTTACCAAGAAACTCGAAATCGAGCGATGCACAGGAAGAAACTTTCAAGTTTTCAAAGAAAATTCAAGGAAGAGATTGTAGTAAGCACAGGCTCAGGAATCAAAGCGAAGGTGAAGAAAAGTCGATCAGAAATTTCGAAGCCCTATTTATAATCTCCGATTTCTAACCGTTGGAGACCTTAATTAGGGGCGCGTATAACCGACGCGATCCTTCAAACCCAATCGACGCCACCTTTTCATGTCATAGAACTCTATTGTACACGTGGCGCCCTATTAAAAAACGACCGTTATCCTTTATGACCATTACAGCGCGACTGTTCATCCTGGTACTAAATGGACAACCGTTACGACTGTTCAGGTTCCTTTTAATTGCTTCCCAGACTATAGCAAATTTTTCACCAAGTGTTCCCACCTCGGAAATTAACGCCCAATCCGGTAAGGACAAGTCACCTCGGAAACTTTCTTGTCACAAACATCTTATCGCGAGCAAGTTGCCCGTAAAGAATGTAACCGAGTCGGATCTCCACCCATCTTTTGCAACATCAACGACAATCACTCCGTATGATCGCCGATATTGGGGGCCTATCTGTTATCATCCAACTCGGAAAACGTTATTGGAGAGTCTTAAAACTTCATATTCAGTGAAATTAACCATCGAACCGACATTATCCATAGTTGAGCTAATTCGGACGGTGAACCGATCTGGATCACCGAAGACCGAAGTCTTGCTAAACCGAAGTAGGCACGAACCGAGGTCCTACCTCATAAGAACAAACCGAGGTCGTCACGTCCTAAAGCAGGTGACAAGGCGCCTACACACCTGTCACAGTCTCCGAAATTTTCCATCATTTAAAAGTGGGGCCCACTGATCCTGCCGCCCATCAAAAAGTAACTTTATGAAAAAGTTAATGCACTAATCCCAAGATGTATGAAAAAAGTTGCTATAAATAGATTGCCCGCAACACTTGTAGGGGGGGATCCCGAATTCAAAAAACATGCAACACGAAAAAGCCCATAACGGCTCTTCACCTCGGTCCACCTCGGACCGAGGCCATTGTTGAGTTATTTCTACATATTTTACGTTCCAACCGTTCATAATCATCATCAAAACCACTGGTTATATCGTTGTTAAGAACCATATAACAACATTTCTTTCAGTTGAAAACTGACCATTAGTTATACAATATGTATTACTTATCTACATGAATGTTTTTTAAGTCTCCAAGATCCCACTGAATTAATGTGAATGTGTGTTGTAATATCCCAAACAGTTATTAAGTTATAAGTTATAAGTTTGACTTTAAGTTGAAAGTATTCTCGGTTAAAATTTTATTTAGTAATCGAGCCAGTTCATTCATTAGTTCCGGTTCATTTACTTTTAGAAATGGATTTTATTAGTAGGGATTAATTATTTCGAGTAATCTGATAAGTTTTATGATTAATTTGACATGAGTGTCTAAATTAATCATTTGAGTAA